GTCACGAAGAATGCGCATCCTGCCAGAGTTCGTTGGTGTCTCTGGATTATTCGAGTTCCATGGAATGGGCCCAAGCACAGACCCAGAGATCAATCTGATCTACGCACGAATCCAGGCCGGTGTGGACAAACTGACGAAGGATGAAATGGTCCATAACAGCTGGGAGAGCCACTGCCTGTGGTCCGTGTGGTCGAGAATGTAAGTTACGGATAGCATCTTATATCACAAGTACGGGAACACCACCAACGAAAATAGTGGTACAACAAAGTAAGGTTGCGGAAGTACTGCAGAAATTGCATTAGGAGCTGGGTCATCCCGGGTAACACCCACGGAGTGGACCACGTTGTGTCGAGTCGGTTTTGGTGAACAACAGCGGCGAGACACTGTAAATTTCTGCAATAGGTGTGTCGAGTGCATCCGAATCAAACCACCAATGCAGTACCACCGAGCACGTTTACAACCGATGCTGACCGGGAGACCTGGTGCTTGTGACCACCGAAGGTGTCCATAGGAATTGTTGGCCGTTAGGAGTTGTTAGTGAGGTCCTTTCCAATGAAGGTGGATTAGTGAGGGAAGTATTCGTTCGCACTTTTCATAAGACTCTGCGACGTAATGTTTCCGAGTTATGTTGGTTAGATAGTGATGACGATTCAATTAAGGGTTAATTTTTATTTGTGCTATTATTGTTTTTCGATGGTTATTCCCATTCAGCATTTTTGGTTGTTAAGTTTACTTGATATGTGCTGTTGATTACTTATGTCTTGGTAAGAGTCACTAGTGCAATCTGCCTTCGTTTAAATGACTATGCACCTTTAGGACTAGTATCAAACAGATGAAACAGATGTCGCCTTGACAGTCAGTTTCCTTGTTGTCTGTTATTGGCCCGTTTAGTGGAATGTTTCAGTATTCGGAAAAAAACATTGGCAGGAATTTTATGGCTGATGACGGATAATCAGCCTCATTTCGGAAAAAACATGATGGTGCACTTGCTATTGGGTTAGACCGGGCACATACTCGATCTTTGTAGATCAAGACATGTAGTTGTTGGTCCATACTGCTAAACATGTCATCAATATTGGGAGCGATATTATTTTGGGAGCTCTTACTGATCGGATTTGGTGAATGCACGTAAAGCGGTTGGTTCATGCCACCTAGCTGCGTGGCGACCACCTGCACCAAGATGCCTCAAACAAAAAAGGACCAGGTGTCACATCATCCTGTGGTGATGGGTAAAAAAGGCAAACCAAAAGAGATCACCCTTGGTTGCATCCAACACTTAAAGAGTTTTGGTTGATTCGATAGCAATAATCGAATTGGTGAAGTTATCAAATTTCTCTTTGGCCGTTAGAATGTGGTTTTATGGGGCTGACGAGAAAAGAAGTATCCGTCAGATGAAAGTGTGTACAACGATGAAGTGCTGGTTGGGTGCGAAGTATGATCCGCACGAGTCAACTCTTAACAATCACTTTGATGTTATTCTTTACAGGTATTTGTTTCTCAGTGTGTACTTATTATAGATGTGAATTTAAATTGTTCGCAAACAATTACTAGCCCATATCATAGTCAGTCCAATGGCAAGGCGGAAAGCGCAGTGAAACAGGCTAAGAAGCTTATCAAAAAATGCGGCGCGGATAGTATTGACCCACTAATGGCCCGCTCGAGTTACGGAACATACCGTCGACCAACATGGGGATCAGCCCAAGCCAACGTTTATTTCGCAGACGCACACGCACAATTCTACTTATTTGCGACGAGTTACTACAGCCACAGACTACGCCATCAATAATCATACAGTCAAGGCTACGAAAACGCATGGCGCTACAGAAGAGGTATTACGGCTGCGGCTCTCTCAGATCAGGAGACACGGTTTGGATACAACCATTGGAGCCAACGAAGGTGTGGGCGAAGGGAGAAGTGATATCGCGAGCAACAAAAAATCGTACCTAGTGGGCTCTGGTCAACGAATAATACGAAGAAATAGATTTCATCCGAGGAAAATGGAAGAGAATGGCGACGAGGACGAAGAACGAGACGATCCCAATACCATTGAGGACGATATTGCAATCAACGTACAAGAACCGCAGCGAGAAATATCAACGACGAGTATGACCGCACAATCTCCATCCCGTACACGAAGTGGACGAATAGACCAATCAGGATCATAATGAAGAACTTCCAAAAGAAGGAGGATGTGTTGTAATGTTGTTTGAATTGGTCGTTTTGTTTTACTGCATCGATTGCATTTTTATGATTGGTTCGTACAGGAGTTTAAATTTGCCGGCCCGAACAATCTGATTGGTTCAGGTTTATATATAAACGCCAATGATTCGCTTCCAAATGTGATTTGTGTCCAGTGGACTAGAGAAAAGATATTGAGAGCATTTCCTGAAGAACCGACTTTTGACGGAAAGGTACGAATTTCGGGATCACGAAGTTGTTTAGTTGAACGATATGCGTGTAAATCAATTCTGAAAGAGCGGCCGTAACACCCTCCACGGAACACCTACTGTGATGAATGTCCCATCTGTGCTTCGAGGGCGTCAGTTAGGAGCCATGGATTTATCAGCTTTTTGGCACAACGCTAGTGTTACAATAGTTGGGACTGTGTTGCTTGGAGTCAACCTAGTGATAATGTGCTTGGATTGGAATCGGTCCTTTAATATCACACACAGATGATTTCTTTCTTGCAGTGAGTTAGTGCCAGATTGAGTGCTCTCTCTGACAAAAAGCTTTTGCATCTCAAAGTGTTGTATCCCGGAATAACCAACCTCTTTAACTGGTAATAATTCTTTTTATATACACCTAGAATATTCTCCTTTTAGTCGCACCTTTAGTTAGCGCACCAACTGTCAAAGCTGAGTGTTGTATTACTCAGTTAATTTCAGTTTAAGGACTTTGACGGTGCTGTGCCAGTTATTCCATTTTCTTGCAGCAGTGAGCTCCAGGGATCCACCGATGATGCAACAGATGAAGGATGGAGGTGACTCTTCTACAATGTTGCGATCAAAACTTCAGGATAGTTGAGTGTTCGCCTTCCACTTTCGCGCCAAATTCCGGTCATGCCTTATTGATCAGAGCAGCAGACCCCAACACTGACATCCACCAAGTTTCATCACGCGCGCCCTTTGACTGGCTGCGCTACAATCTCGTATTATCACATCTCATCAAATTTGAAGGATTTTTTGTTATTGTTATGGCATTTGTAGGTTGATATACCAGATCGGAATTACTTCTACTCAAACACTCTAACGGATTGACATCACGATTTGATTCAACCACACTCAATTCTCTCGGATTTCGGAATTCACACAAAAAGCGCAATCGGGCCGGATGGCAAGTTGCTCTTAACTGCACCCCCCCGTCAAAAATGTCCGTCCCATCACTACTGAGTACGAACATACGTTTATTGTTCACGAAAATCTCGGATATATCACTTGTTCTCCGCTCGCGGATTCACGTTCATACTTGTCTGATTTGCATACAAGAATCTTGGCTGAACCCTCATGTTGCTGACGCGTTAGTGTCCATTGACGGATTTAACCTGTACCGGCAGGACAGGGAATCATGTGGCAAGAAATCCGGTGGTAGTGTGGTCAACACTTCGTGGAGTGGCAAGTCAGATGCCGTTTATTCATACTCAAGTAACGGTATTGATTGTTTGTCTCTTCAGCGTTACCCTAAATTCTCCCGACATAGAAGTACCTTCATAACAAACCTATATATTGCTCCGTTTTGTAGGCAAAATACCATCTCGTCATTCTTCGACTCATTTTTACCTTTTCTTGTACCAATGCCTGAGGACAACCTGCACATTATTGTAGGTGATTTTAACCATGCTTCAACCAGACCTCTCACTGCTTTTGATCTAACAGATTTATGCGTTTCACCGACCAGAGGTAACTCCGTTTTAGACAGAATTATAACAAATC